CGCCACAACATCTTGGTCTTCATATCTTCAACAATATTAAGGTTTCGTTTATGCTCAGGTAGTTAAGTAGATTGCTATAGAAAATATAAATTTGCTTCATCGACAGCCTTACTGCAGAGTGTGATATGGAAAAATGCCTGGCCTTGGTTGAAATTGCATCTTCCCTGTGAACCAAGGTAACTCGTGGTAATGTAGCGTAGTTGCCAACTTGTCGAGATTACATGTTGCACCGTCATGGTTCGAGTCTCGCTGGGGGTACTGATGATGCCATTTCAGGTGAGGTCTATACCGCAATCCATTCTTGCCCGTATGAGAATACCTTATGGGAAAACAGGGCTATGTGAAATTCAATGGAAACATCAGGTCTGCTCATATGATTGTGGGAAAAATTCGACTACCAGTCAGTATCCTTATCACCTTTAACGAAATCGGATGACTGCACCTCATAACAATGTGAATTTATAAAGAGCAGACTGCAATTTATTTCATTACCTCTCATTGCTTTTTTCTTTAAATGTATGCATGTGCACACGTCTATCTTCATACCAATGCCAACACGCATGACCATGCACGCTGGTTCTGCCAAACCACAGCCTATGCAACGGTCTGCGTGAACTCTGACCTGAGTATTTGTCTCCGACCCGTTCCCTTCACACCCTCCGATGAACTCACTGAGGCTGAGCAGCTCGGTCAGGTTGAGCCGGGATCCGAGTTCGTCTTCTACTTTCTCGGCCATGGGCGTGCTCTCATCCGAGCAGTAGGAGAGCTGGTTGCCAAGGCCGTCTCGACTTCAGGCTTCGGCTCTGGTAATCCGGCTTACCTTCGTGCCGAGATCAAAGGCGATGTGAAGGTGGAGACGAGCAACCAGCTTGTGGCTGCCTGTATCTGGGAGATATAGATTCTCTCTTCACAACATCCCTTCTTCTTGAATGTGTTTCTGAAAATTGGATTAATGCTCTTCGGAGATTCTATTATTAATTAGCTTCGGTTGTTTCAGGTCGCCCGACATCACGAACCTTTTACCCTTTACCCTTTACCCTTTGTCTATCCCACTTGGAAGCAGTGTCGATAGGGCCTAACTCTTATCCAGCTTTTCCATCGGCCTAAACTCATGTCATCAGTAATCGGACCTGTATTTGTTTGCATGAGCGTCCGACATTTCAGCTTATCGCTCATTAATGCAGTCAGTATTGACAGTATTGATCTTCATCTAGTACTGCCACACTCCATACCCATAGTAGGCATTATCATCAGCATCATTAATCTAATCGCCAGGATCGCTGCATCAATCGAATAATTTTCTATTTTCTCTTTTGCCCTACATCTGAATTTGCTCGTTCAAGCGAATAAACTTACAGATTCTATCTTGGCAGCAACAACCAATAAGGTTGAACTCTTTTCGCCATTAATTTAGAGCGCTTTTCCCCACATCCACAACTATCTATCCTTCATTCCATCATATGTATTGTTGTGTTTTCCGGTTATAATTTTAAAC